TGAACGTGAATGAGAAATAAGAAATGTGGACATAAAGCTTGGTTTTTTAAGAATTTACAGTGTGACGTCACTTTATAAAAACCTGAAATAAATATTTAACAATGGGTAAATTAAGAGCTCCCTTATGGGAAATGAACCATGGTTTATTATAGCAAAAGTATAATAAACTAGTTTTAGTGCATTGATTACCATTTGCTCTTTCACCACCCTTTTACATTTTGTATAAAGGAGTAGTACATCCAAACATTTTAATTGTCATCATTTTTACTTCAATGATGACAGAACTTATCTAGAACTCTACTTTTACTTCATTGCTTTCTTCAAAACTGTTTGAGTTTCTCTCTTCGTTTAAACAGAATTGAAGAATGTTGAAAACAAATAGTTTTTGACTTCAATAATATATAAATGTATATATATATATATATATATATATATATATATATTTGTTCTATAGATGTCAATGGTTGTTTTTTCCAACTATTCTTCAGAAAACCTTGTTTTGTGTTTTAAAAAAAAATCATAAAGTTTAAAATTAATCGAGAGTAAGAAATATAGTGAATACTACGGTAGGCAGAGTAGGTAGGTAGAGAGTTTAACAATTACAAAAAACACCAGCAAATTAACGATCTCCATCAATTTGATAGCACAAGTGTTGCAAATTGGTCACAACACAAACAACTGAAGAAACGCGCTGCAATTAGTCACGACACTTGCAAATATCCACGTAACACAACGGAAATGTTTCAAGGGGACTTAAAACCATGACAGACCCTGCTGAGATATGGATGTGTTATTATGTGTAATCAGGATATTAAAATAAATGAAAAACAACTCACCTTTTAAAGACCACCAATCACTTCACTGAGCAACAGTCATGGCATAATAACACATCCATATCTCAACAGGGTCCCTCATGGTTTTGGGTCCCCTTTGAAAAATTTCCATTGTGTTACATGGATATTTGCAAATGTCGTGACCAATTTGCTGCGCATGTCTCCTGTTGTTTGTGTTGTGACCAATTTGCTGTGCATTTCTTCAGTTGTTTGTGTTGTGACCAATTTGCAACACGTGTGCTGTCAAATTGATGTAATCGTTTTATTATTTGCTGGTGTTTTTTGTAATTTCATGTGTTTTCTTTAACTGCAGCACATTTAGCTCTCTCGACCACAGTATAATACATTTTTGTTGAGCTTTTCCTTTTATGTAAATACAAAAAAATCCCTGCAGTTTGGGCTGGGCCAATAAACTATATTATATTGATCTGCGATATTATTTCAATAACATTGATAAGCTCTGGACTTTTTTCTCTATATTGTTCAAAGAGCCAATCACACAGCAGAAATGTGCAACATTGGGAATTTAAAAGTGTGTTGGTAGTAGAAATTTTCAGCCACTGAAAATGTATTGGCCAAAAAATATGTTGTCATTTAAGGAACCCTCTAATTGTGGAGGTACTCTTAAATCTGGAAGCAATAACAACTTACATTGAAATACATATAGTTATCGTTCAATATGGAAGATAATTATCAAGATTGCATTTTTGTCATATCACACAGCATACCTGCAGTACTCTGGGAAAGTTCGTTTTTGGTTACCAAAAAAAAAAAAATCTAACATTTCCAGAATGTCCTTTTTTGGTTTCCTAACGGGAACCAAATGGGAGGCATATACATTAGTGAGACATTCTGTGAAAAATTGTCACTTACATTTGACAATAACGATACATCTGCCATGTTTTAACCAGGACTTTTGTTTTATAGGGTTGTGTATTTTTTACACATCAGAGCTTGACTGCAGATGTATGCAGGCTCAAAATACAACTAAACACAGAGTTAAGCTTTTAATTCCTCAAAGCAAACACCACACTATATATCATCACGACGCCGTCCCCATGGCTCCGTCATGTCATCAGGGACTAATTTTCGGCATTGAATAGTGACATAATACACCATAATGAGTGACAGAAGCCGACAAACACAAGCTTTTTTCCTCTCAGCTCATCCATCTCTGAAATCTAAAGTGTGTGCAGGTTTGAATTAAGATCATTTGACAAGATAAACAGTTTCACCCGGCTCCCATGACTGCCACTTTTCACCCAAACTGCTTTGATTGTATATAATCTGATGGTAATCATAGCTAAATGACAGACGGATGATAAGAAAGCCAAGATCCTTTTCTCACGGCTGATTTTCTATTACCACCCAATCAGACCACTGTCAAAGTTTCTTTTCATACTGATTTGGCCGTGACGCTGTGTGTGTGTGTTGTAATTAGGTCTTTAATATGGGTGATTAAGACTCCATTGTGGGGTCATTCCATGAAATTGAAGCATTTTGCTTCCATAAGAAATACTGAAACCGAAATAATAACACTTAATATATATATATATATATATATATATATATATATATATATATATATATATACAGTTGGAGTCAGAATTATTAGCCCCGTTCGATTTTTTTTCTTTCTTTTTTAAATATTTTCCAAATGATGTTTAACAGAGCAGGGACATTTTCACAGAATATCTGATAATATTTTTTCTTCTGGAGAAAGTCTTATTTGTTTTATTTCGGCTAGAATAAAAGCAGTTTTGAATTTTTTATGAACCATTTTAGGGACAAAATTATTAGCCCCTTTAAGCTATATTTTTTCTCGATAATCTACAGAACAAACCACTTTTATACAATAACTTGCCTAGTTCCCCTAACCTGCCTAGTTGACTTAATTAACCCAGTTAAGCCTTTAAATGTCACTTTAAGCTGTATAGAAGTGTCTTGAAAAATATCTAGTAAAATATTATTTACAGCCATCATGGCAAAGATATAATCAATCAGTTATTAGAAATGAATTATTAAAATTATTATGTTTAGAAATGTGTTCTTCATACATCTTCTCTCTGTTAAACAGAAATTGGGGAAAAAATAAACAAGCGGTCTAATAATTTAGGGGGGCTAATAATTCTGACTTCAACTGTATATATATGAATATTATGATTTATATTCATCATATGAAGTTATGGTCACTTAAAATTGTTTGATTACTGGTAAGGTTTTTGACATGTCGCTTTCTATTTTTCTTGTTTTTAGTTTAGACTTTTACTTTGCTATTTAGAAAAAAATTGCATTTGCATATTGTTCTAAGCAGATTTGGGGAAAGTTCCTTCTGAAAGTAATGCATTACAATATTGAGTTACTCCCCCAAAAAGTAGCTGTTGTGTTACTTAGTTACTTTTTATGGTACGAAATGCATTACATTACTTTTGAGTTAGTTTTTGCGTTACTTTATATTACCTGGCTGAGGCTTAATCTCTTTCAGAACTTGTTTTTTTTAATATATTTTTTTAAATAGAGAAGCTCTGCAAATAACAACACACTGTATAAACTACAACTTCATTTATCTATAAAATAAAATATTTTATGACGTTATCAAGAACTCCCTGACCTGACCCCACAGAGATATACATGCCATATATACAGATTATTGAAAGTTTAAAGCAATGTGTTTACTACTTTTGTACTATTTATCTCAAGTAATATCACTGTCCATTGAGACAACAGTCCCATTTTCTTTTTCCTCAATGCGTACAAAATAATAAACAAATTACTACTTTAATTTTAATTCAGCAATTAATTTTTTTAAAAGGTCATTAATGAACTAATAAAGTTACTCACGTTACAATTTCTAAAAAGAAACTAAAATATTATAACTTATTTTTTAAAAGTAATGCGTTACTTTACTGGTTACTTCACATAACACTGTCTGTTGCATTACGTAACTCACATACTTGTAATGTGTTACCTCCAACATTGGTTCTAAGTATATGTTAAGTTTTTTACATTTATGTAAAAAATAATGTAAATAATTTTATATTTCATAAAATTATATTAACCTATTAATAGCTAGCTATTACCAATTTAGCTTAAATTGTCAAAGCTGATACCTTTCCAGAGAGTTACTTCAGATGTTAACTGTTAACCTGTTCCTATCATAACTTTTTTAAAAATTTAATATTATATATATATAAAATATATAAATAATATAAATAATATATATAATAATATAAATAATATATATAAAAAAATTTATATTATATATATATATAAAATATATAAATAATAATAAGATATAGCAATACACGTCCAACCAATCACCCATCAAAATTAAGATGTCATAGTATTCTAAATGTCAAATATTAGACCATTTCAAAATTCCCATTTTTAAAATATTCATTCATTAATTTCCTTTTCGGCTTAGTCCCTTTATTATTCTGGGGTTGCCACAGCAGAATGAACCGCCAACTTATCCAGCATATGTTTTTACACAGCGGAAGCCCTTCCAGCTGCATCCCTTCTCTGGGAACATCCATACACATAGACTACGAACAATTTAGCCTACCCAAATCACCTGTACCGCATGTCTTTGGACTGTGGGGGAAACTGGAGCACTAGGAGGAAACCCACGTGAATGTAGGGAGAACATGCAAACTCCACACAGAAAAGCTAACTAACCCAGCCGAGGCTCGAACCAGCGTCCTTCTTGCTGTGAGGTGACAGCACTACCTACTGCGCCACTGCGTCGCCTTTCAAAAATATATAATATTTAAAATACGTTTGTTCTAAATATATAATATAATATACTGGTGAAATGAGGTACACAAATAGTCATAAAATAAGAAATTGAATAGTTTGAAATGGAGATACAATTTCTCAACCTTCATAGATATTAAGGACAATATATATTTGTATAATGACGTGTACATTAAAAACCTAAAACATACATTTCTCAAGTCACATTGACAAGTTGATATTGTTATTTAAGGTACAGTTAAAGAATAAACAGTACTTACAGTTGGAGAAAACGACCCCAATTCAGATGCTGATATCGGCAATAGTGCATGTGCCTCAAGACGAGAATTTAAGTGACTGCTGTTGATTGGCTGACGCTCGCCTGACGTCATTTTACGGATGTTTAAAGGAGATTGAAGCCTGGAACCAGGAGCGGTAAGCGGTTAACTTTCATTACGCAGAGCTTATGAGGACATGTCAACGAGATGCGGTCTGAGTGTAGGCAAATTATTTTTTCTTCTGTGTTTATAACTTCTGCCAATTTGCCTGAAGACAAGATATACTCCGGGTGTCTGCTTTTATGTGGACTGTCAGACTGAAAGCGATAATAATTCGTAACTTTACTGTATTTATGACTCTGGAAGTGTGAAGCAGGTAAGTGCGCATGCGTGTGATAGCTATGAGACTAGAAGTGTGAACATGTTTACTTTAGCAAGATTGTTTGGTATCTGTCAAATAGTGCTTACATATATTTATTGTCTGTTCTACTGAATATACAATTTGTTTCTCTTAGTAACCATAAGTGAAACATATATTCAGTCAACATGTGCTTTGTTGTAGGTAGTGACCCATTTAATATGGTAAACAGTGCATGCAATACACAAGCAGCTCATGTCAGAATGGGGGCTCTGGCGTGGAAGCGGTGTGTTGGATGTGGATGCAAGATTTCGGACCGCTTCCTCCTGTTTGCTTTGGATGGGTACTGGCACTGCCACTGTCTCAAGTGCTCCTGCTGCCAAGCCCAGCTGGCTGAAATTGGCTCATCGTGTTTCACAAAGCGTGGCTTGATCCTCTGCAAAAGTGACTATTTAAGGTCAGGAACAGGACCGATGCTCTATTTTGTTATTGTAATCCTTGTTGATTTACCATCATTTATATCTCGAGCTAACAAATGGACTGGATCAGGGGGGTTTTCAATCTTTCTTAGATGGCATGGATTCCTGTATAGGATAGCCCTATATCCTAAAATGAAATGGCATCTATTTAGTTTACTGTATAACTTTTATAATGTGAAATAATTATATTATAAATGGGAAATATTTACTTTCTATCAAAATATATTATTACAGTTGTTGTTAATTTTGGTGCTGTAGTAATTTATTATTTACATATGGTTTACAAATTGTAAAAAAAAAAAAAAAACAATTGAATGTATTTATTTTATGATTTTTAAATAATTTTTAGTGATTATAATTATTAGATTTTTTAAAACATAAATTTTTTATTTGTTTGTCATAGTATGTGCTAGTTTATTATTTTAATTGACTATTTCAATCTCACATTTGTATTTATTTTATTATTTTTTAAATTTTATATATTCAATTATTTGTCAATCCTTTTACACATTTTATCTGTATCTCCAAACATTTCTACAGACCCCAAAGACTGAAAGGGTTTTAAAAAATAGAAAACATTGTTTATAGATCAAATACTGTTTTATGTCATTGTAATAAAACAAAATATAAGGTAAGAAACAATGCTAGTGTGCTACAAAAAATGAAAAATGTCTAGTCATTTACTCAAGTCATTCCAGACCTGATTTACTTTCTTCTCAGCAACACAATAATATATTTCAAAATATTGTGGTTACTAAAATTTCCTGCCTAATGTCTTTCATCGGATGAACTAAAAAAATACAGTGGAGGAAAATGACATGTATAAAACATGAGGATGAAAACAAAGTATGACAGACATTTCATTTTTGCATATGCTCTCACTTTATGGAGATATTAGGCATAATATTTTATCAGTTGTGTCAAACACAACGTTTTTATGATTTTAAATGTTTTCAAGTCATATTTTTGCATGTATTTGTGTATTTATTTTGCAGGACTTTTGTGTGAGCAAGTAATGACTTTAAATGTGGTCAATCTCCTTGCCCACTGATTGCCCTTGTTGAGACTCCCATGTCATATAATCTTACATAGATTCAATCTGATTTCGCTGAATAGCTGTTATTGTGCTCCTGGCCAAACGACTAATATCGCTTAGGTGGAAGGATCAGAAGCCTCCAACCTCAACAAAGTGCATCCGTGATGTTTTCTTATTAAAGTTGGAAAAAATTTGACTGTCTAGAGTTGGGGTGGGCAAACTCGTTTCTGGAGGGCCGGTGTCCTGCAGAGTTTAGCTTCAACTCTAATCAAACACACCTGCTTATAGATTTCTAGTGATCTTGAAGACATTGATTAGCATGTTCAGGTGTGTTTAGTTAGTGTTGGAGCTAAAATGTGCAGGACACCGGCCCTCCACGAACGAGTTTGCCCACCCCTGGTCTAGAGCAAGGGTATCCAAACTGCAGGCTCCTGCAGGGCCGGTGTCCAACTTGCCTCAACACACCTGCAAGGATGTTTCTAGAAAGCCTAGTAAGTGCTTTATTACCTAGCCCAGGTGTGTCTGAATGGGGTTGGAACTCAACTTTGCAGGACACCAGCCCTCCAGGAATGAGTTTGGGCACCCCTGGTCTAAAGGTTCATCTAATCAGGTTAAGAAAATTTGGGACCCATTTAGGAAATATATTCAGGATCATGTTTTATTGTTGAATGTAGACCAAGTGCTTGTTCCAGCAAATTGAATCATTTTTTTCTTTCCTAAGTTCAAGTTTTATTTATTTATTTTTATTTCATTGTATGCACTTAAGTTGATACTATCTATTCTTTTTAAAATACAATGTTTTTCAATTTTTTACTGTAATTTGCCATAAAATTCACAAATAAAATAATTTTTTAAAAATGTGGTCAACAATAGACAGCAGTAGGTGTAAACACAGTAAAGGCTGTCTTGTGTTTGTACAGTTAAAGAGAAAAAAACACAAATGACTCTCTTATTAAAAAGCATATTTGTGATTATGATCTTCACCATAGATTATTTGGCCACAGTGGTGCCTGCAGGGCCTGCGGTACCTCCATCCCAGCAAATGAAATGGTAATGCGTGCACAAGGCAATGTTTTCCATGTCAAGGTAATTCACAAACGGACCCATTTAAATACAGTTTGTTCATTTTTACTACCAGTTATTATGCTTTTTCATTTCTGCCTTTGGTCTTGCAGTGTTTTGTATGCTCCATCTGCCATAACCAGCTTGTACCTGGTGACCGCTTTCACTACGCAAATGGAAAACTGTACTGTGAGCGGGACAAATCTGCAGCTTCTGAACACTCGGATTCACTCAGGGAGCATGACATATCCCAACAAAAATCCTGAGATGCTCATTTTTTTTGAGATACTATTGGAGCACCTATCTTCGTATTCAAGACCTTATTTAACCCAGCAGTTGCTTTGTCAGCTACAGAGCATTATGTGAAGGTCTGATATCATTGAAATCCGACATATATGGTAATATCTGGCGGTTTAAATGAGGTTAACCATTGGAGCTGAAAAGCAATATCAGCGAGCATCCTTGCGTATCATAATCAATTATGAATCTGTTTTGCACAGACTGACCTTATGTTGTGGACCTGCAGTTTATGCGTGGTGTCTGTTAGTTTTAAAATTGTGTACTTTTACTTTCAGGCAGCAAAAACACACACATGTATGTGTGACATGTTTTGGTAATCTTCTTGGTCTGCAATTACAGTATAACTGCAGTTAACCAGAGTTTCCAGAGAGCTATTTGTATCCTTTAAAAGCAGCACATCAGATGATATTTTTGTTGTTGTATTTATTTCATTAAAGATAACAGGGTTTTAAGGTTGCTCTAAATATTTGAAGCGTGTTGTGTATGAAGAATTGTTTGCTTTATTATCTTTTAAAAAGGCATTAGAAAGATATTTTACTGAAATAAACTTTTCAGTCATGCGTTGTCATACATTTGAAATGGTTTCTAAAATATTTACAGACTAAATTTATGGAGAATATCACCCTCTGTTGGCAGAGAGCAGTTCTGTTACTTTATTATCCACCCCTTAAGTATTATTCCCATCTTTTTCAAACATTAGAATTTGTCCTATTGAATTAATTTTTATTCTGTGCATAAAAAAGTATGGGATTCTTTTTAATCCCACTAGAATGACAGTCTGTGTAACAATATTTATTTAGCAAACACTTGTTCGACATTTAAAACAAGAATTGTTTGATGGCATTAATATTAAATATATTTTTTATTTCGATTAAAATATATTTATACTTTACCCATTTGTCAGCAAGAAAATTTTAATAATATAAAATGTACAAGAAAATTAAGTTGAGTATGATCACTTAATCTTTTGTATATTTTAATAAATGCAGGTCAGTAGTTAATCGTTTTATTTTATTTATACAGACGTAATCATATTTGTTGGTACCCTTCAATTTTGTCCAGGCCAGTCACATTAGTTTGCCTTTTTATTGTTTTAGCTGAAACGCATTGAAAGCAATATTTGATTTTAAATAGTTTATTTTCAGTCATTTTTGATTAATCATTACTTTTTTTCAGTTTCAAGTTATTTTAGTAACCATTGTAGTTTTCTTTCTACAATGGAAGGGTGCCAACACATGTTTGGGGTCAGTAAATTTTTTAAAATGTTTTAAAATAAGCTTCTCCTGCTCACCAAGGCTGCATTTATTTAATCAATACTACAGTAAACATTGTACAATTGTGACATAAAATGCACTATAAAATAGTAGTTTATTATTCTTTCATTTTCTTGTCGGCTTAGTCCCTTTAATAATCCGGGGTCGCCACAGCGGAATGAACCGTCAACTTATCCAGCAAGTTTTTTCGCAGCGGATGCCCTTCCAGCCGCAACCCATCTCTGGGAAACATCCGAACACACACTCACACACACACTCATTCACTACGGACAATTTAGCTTACCTAATTCACCTGCACCGCATGTCTTTGGACTGTGGGGGAAACCAGAGAACCCGGAGGAAACCCACGCAAAGGCAGGGAGAACATGCAAACTCCACACAGAAACGCCAACTGAGCCGAGGTTCGAACCAGCGACCTTCTTGCTGTGAGGCGACAGCACTACCTACTGCGCCATACGTGCTGGATAATTTTGCGGTTTCTTCTGCTGTGGCGACCCCGGATTAATAAAGGGACTAAGGCGAAAAGAAAATGAATGAACTAATTCATTATTATTATTCATGGTAATAGTAATAAAAGCAATAATGACTGGAGTAATAATTTCATTGAAACTACATACAATACGAAAGCAGTTATTTAAGATTTTATTAAAAATGTAACAATTTTTATATATTTAATAAATGTTAATAAACGTCGTCTTGATGAAAAGAATAGTTTTCTTTAAAAAAAAAAACATGAAAAAAAAGTATATGGTATAATAGTGTATATATGTAATGTTTTTTTTCCCATATTTTTTCATTTTATTTTCACACAAAAAAAATATTTGGAACATTAAATTACATTTGCATTTAATATGTGCAAAATACTTTGTGTATAAAAAAATATTTTTGTAATTAACTTGATGCAGACATCAAAGAATAAATAAGCATTTCTTGAAAGATAGGAGCAGTTTTTAAATAAAAGCAATAACAATTAGCATGATAACTATGTATATAGACTAGACATTTAGAAAGAAAATAGGCAGCATGCTTTTATTAATGTTTGCTGAATGAATAATATGGATGCTTTTGTAGTGACTCACAGCAGATGAATGATTGATGAACCTCTTTTTCAAGCTTCTGCATGTTTGACGTGAGTTTTATTGATTGTCATTGAGTGTTATTGATTTATTTATTTAAGGATTTATCATTATATTAACTTGTTGGGTTTGGCTTATAAACCAAAATACAGGGGCTGAATGTTTTTGAATCAGAGATATTGTTATTAAAGGGTAAATAAGAATAACACACACACAATAAATGATCGATTTTATGTAAATGTAATTTATGTAAACATGAATAAACATTAAAGAAAAAAAAACAAAAATCTGACTCATATCTAATAATTGTAAATTAGTTAACATTAAATTATGATTAGGTCATTTGGTTTAAATAATTACAATTTAGACTAAAACTACCAAATAAGTAGAAATTACATAAACACTAAAACTGAAAACAAGTTAGTATTATAAATAGTGCCGGGCAAAGATTAATCACATCCAAATTAAATGTTTGATTTGACATAATATATGTTTATATATATTATGTATATATGTTTATGTGTATATATATATATATATATATATATATATATATATATATATATATATATATATATATATATATATATATATATATATATATATATATATATATATACAGTTGAAGTCAGAATTATTAGCCCCCCCTGAATTATTAGATTGCTTGTTTATTTTTTCCCCAATATCCGTTTATTGGAGAGAAGATTTTTCTCAACACATTTCTAAACATAATAGTTTTAATAACTCACCTATAATAACTGATATATTGTATCTTTGCCATGATGACTGTAAATAATATTTTACTAGATATTTTTCAAGACACTTCTATACAGCCTAAAGTAACATTTAAAGGCTTAACTAGGTTAATTAGGCTAATTAGGCAGGTTAGGGGAATTAGGCAAGTTATTTTATAACGATGGTTTGTTCTATTGATTATCGAAAAAAAATATAGCTTAAAGGGGCTAATAATTTTGTCCCTAAAATGCTGTTTAAAAAATGTAAAAGTTATTTTATTCTGGCCGAAATGAAACAAATAAGACTTTCTCTAAAAGAAGAAATATTATCAGACATGCTGTGATAATTTCCTTGCTTTGTTCAACATCATTTGGAAAATATTTTAAAAAGAAGAAAAAATGTGTAGGGGGCTAATAATTCTGACTTTAACTGTATATTTAGATACATAGAAACAAAACCATGCAAAACAATTTTGTTAAATGGATATTTAAATTTACATATAATTTGTGACATAAAATTTGTATCTTCAATATTCTATCTAAATATAAATAAAACAAATTCTCTAATATATGTATGCATGTGTGTATTTATATATACATAAAAATATACACAGTACACACACACACACACACACAAATATATATATATATATATATATATATATATATATATATATATATATATATATATATATATATATATATATATATATATATATATATATTATGTCGAAATAAACCTTCATTTTGAATGTGATCAATCACTACTAATTTTACATTGGGTATACAAAAGAATCCAGAAAGTGTAGAAACAAATAAGTAAACAAATGAGTAAATAACAGTAAGGACTTATGTGGATAAGGTATTAAACTACTGAATAACTTTTTTTATGTAATCAAAGTAAATTCAGGTAATATAGATTTTTTTTGCTTTTCATTGCTAACCCAATTTCTCAGCCCATTTTGTGGTACCCAATCTGTAATATTTTTTACAAGAAACCTTAAAGACCCCCTTTCATATTTTAGCCTGGGGCTCCCTGAAAGGAGGACGATCACATTTGTGGGGTTCCTCTTGGCATCTAAAATAATAAACCTCTCTGATTTAGATTACTATAATTAAATAAATCTAACCAATCCTACAATGTGTCATTAAGGAAAAACTTGCTTAATGTACACAAACAATGATGTCATAGAATTTGTTACTGCTATAAAATTAATTTGCATTACAAAAAAATTATATATATTTCACTTATATTTATAAATATCGCCAGTAAAATATACTCGTGTTGCCCTTCTAGAATGAGTGTGTTGTGTTGAAGCTTCAGTGTTTGTGGATCTGTTATTGATCACATGATCGAGGCTGGACTGGCCGCGGCTGAACTGGGTGCGGGAACAGAAACCTGCACTTGGGTCGATGTGCCTCCCCTTGTTTAGATGTTAGCAGCGCGGCTCTGCGTTCCCCCCAAACGCGCTGATCTCTGCTATCAGCCCGGGTCTTTTACCCCCGCATTTACAACAAACCCCCAGCTCAGCCATGGGCCCCCCTCCGTCTCCTGGCCACGTTATGGATCGCACCCCAAATAAAGCGCTCGTCGCTTGAGACGGAAACATAACAGGCTTGTTTTTTGGGAGTGACTCACCTCCCCTTCCCCAGAGTTTGATTCAAAAAGAGTTCAGAACCAAGATGGCCGCCGATCCCATGCAGGTAGGAAAAGTTTTGTGTAATTCGTGCAATATTGATCTAAAGAGACTTAAAGTGTGCACGGCGACTTTTATTGCTTTAAAAACGCAGTTATGCGCCCTCTCACTCGCGCACTCTTTCAAACCACTACTTTTCTTCGGTCGGGGACGAGCTGAGCTGCTCCCTTCGAGAGCTCATGACACGGGAAAACAGGGAACGGGCCCTGGAAAACACTTGTGACAGGAGTTTAGCCATGTATTTTTACCCATGCGGTTAGAGTAGTGTGCACACATATAGTTTGACTAAGTTGTGTCATGTTTCTTTCTTGAAAACACTGGAGTTGTGATGGACTGGCTGTGTCTCAAAATCTAGCGTGCTGACTACATAGACAGCAAAATGAGTTTGGGATAGTTCAAAACCGATTTAAATGAACAGTTGTTAAGTCCGCGGACTCCAAGTACTGTAGTAAAGTTTACGATAGTGAAAAATGTTGTATGAAGGGTTTTTTTTTCTGTACACTTTATTGTTTTGACGATTTTATACAAACAAGTTGGTAGTCTTTTGGTTAACTTGTCTTTTTGCTCTCTGCTGGGCTTCAGTTTTGTTTAAGTTTGTTAGTCTTGTCATGATAAAACTTAGGCGAATTTTAGTGAACGCTTGCTTTTTAAAAATACAAAATACCAAACAATATATATATATATATATATATATATATATATATATATATATATATATATATATATATATATATATATATATATATATATATATATATATATATATTGTGTGTGTGTGTGTGTGTGTGTGTGTGTGTGTGTGTGTGTGTGTGTGTGTGTGTGTTAATAAATATCATTTCAAGAAACTTCAAGATAATGTTTTTTGGCAAACAGGTGACATTTCAATAGTTGCAGTCATCTGTCAGCTATTATGACTGGACCTTTTTAAATAAGTGCATGATTGTTGAAAGACTCCTTTAAACTCATCTATTTCTACAATTGTTATATGTTTGAGTCCACATATTTGCACTTTTTATATCATTCACAGAAACAGAGTTCAGCTTTCCACTTTTATGCAAAACCGTCTTGGCAGGTGTCATTTTTGTGCCAGTTTATTCAAATTTCTGCTGGAGTGTTTTTTTTTTTTTTGTTGGTTCTTGTAAACTGGAAATGACACCGTTGTTACTGAAACATGTTTTGTCAGCAGTGTTCCCAGAACTGACAAGTCCAAGAGTGTACTTAATATATTATGGAAAGTGGAAGAGAGACAGTTGTGGCATAATTAGATTTTATATTGTGATTGAGAGGTCTGGAGACGTTGTTGGATGAAGTGCTCTTCTCCTTCTCATCAGCTTGAGTTTAACAAGCAAAACACGTTATTAATGGAGACATTTTTTATGCTGTAGATTGTGCTGTATTAATACAGATCTGTATTTGTGTGTGTGTTGTCCTGTGGTCTGGGAGGAAGAGAAGCTGCACCTGGCTCATTCTTATAAAATAGGAGAGGACGTTTCTATGACCTTCATTTGACCCCTGAGTCAGTGCTGTATGTACAAGTTGAGTGTTTAAAACATTCATGTCAGGGTTTATTTATTTATACAGTTCTTTTTTCGCAGGTTGAGATTTCATGCAGGACGAATATAAACATGAGGGTCATCAAAGCTAAAAGTCAGATGTTTTAGTCCAGTTCTACTTTTACTTTTAACTACACATTACATGCTCAAAATTATGGATTTTAAATAGGTTTAGCGATTGTTTTGGTGTGTTTTCGGGTCAGCAGATGAAAAAGCATAGTAGGGCTGCACAATTAGGGCTTTGAGATTTGGGGAAAATATCTACTTGCAATTTTTTTGACAGATATTGCGATTGTAATTTCATTTTCATTTTAATTTAGTAGTCAAGCTTCAGCTCAATAATATGTGTTGTAGCTTTTTACTGCAAAAATGAGTGGTATTTAAAAAGTTAAAAAGGGAACTGAAAAGATATTCACTTGCTCCAACATTTATCAAATTTGTTTTAAAATATTCAGAAATTCAACTAATTTTTCTCTGGATCTAACAGTAAGCACATATAAAATTACCTTACCTTTCTGTAAACAAGTTCAACTCAAATTAATGTAGCTTATTATACAAAAAAAAAATAAAATAAATAAAATTATAATACAGGACACCCAGCAAACTAACATGGCTGATAAGAGGCAGATTGAAAAGTTCTGATTGAGCAGAACGAAACTATGCTCACTCAATTGGCTAGTAAGACTTTCACACACAGATGGCAGTCATGCATTTCCTCTTGGTGAGGGAAATTAAATAATACATGTTATTGTTAGGGCATCGCACAGCCCTAACAATATATCATTTTAGCATCGCAGTGTGCGCATCCACAATAAATAATCATATCGTAAAGATGTGCAATGTTGAGTCTAAATTATAGTTGAGCAGGAAGCAACAGCAAGCGCTGTATTTATATGATTTATGCAAAAAGAATCTTACTTAGAATTTTTTTTTCTAGTTTAAATATCTATATTTCAAAGTAAAAATCTGATTATTTAACTTATACTAGCAGATAATTTAGCTTGTTTAAAGGAAAATCTATTCATTGTGACTTATTTCTTCTTAAAGTGGAAACAAAACAATAGTTTTACTTGCTCTAAGAATTTTTTTATATTTTGACTGGCAACAAGGTAGGCATGGGACCAATGGGACAATCTGTTTCGAGGTTTGCCACGGTAATAAAACAGCAAAAATATTTTGTTATATCATTTCTAAGGTATATGTAGAGGGTTTTTTATGTGTTGTAAGGAAATCAGTTTTTGAAGCTAATGAAGACAGAAGTAAATGGATTATTTTAATATGTAGCCTGACATTTTTACTGTTCCAAAATATTATAAATGTCTCTTAAAATGGAATATATTTTGTTAAATGTGGAAAAAAGTTGTTGTTTTATTTTTTACTAAGACATTTAAAAAGAAATTATTTTACAGCAGTGAACACAATACCAGGATACTGTGAAATCCTGATATTTTTATCCAAGGTTATTGTACCGTCAAACTTATAAAACCTATAAACTTAAACTGGCCCATGTCTAGGAACAAGACAAAACAAAGTATGAAAAGCAATATTTTCTATTGTGATTATTCAATTTCTGTACCTGAATACTGTTGGACTCCCCGGAAAACTATAAAGTAGTGCTATTCAAACTTTCAATTCAATTCCTCTTTATTTTTAGTAAATTGAAACTGTCTCAGTCCAGTTTCCAGAGTTTAGGTTTAGTTCAGTTCAGTGTGGTTTAAATTTCACTGCTGAAAGTCCAAACACTGAAGAGCAAATCCATTGATGCACAGCTCCACCAGTCCCAAACCAAGCAGGCCAGTGGCGAGAAACAAAACTTCACCAATTGACGAAACTGAAGGAAAACACCTTGAGAGAATCCAGGCTCAGTTGGACATTACCATTTCTCCTCCGGCCAAACTTCTTGTGCAGAGATGCAGTCGTGGCGATCTTGTGAAACAGTATTGATATCGCTATATTTGTCACAGAAAAAAAATATATATGCCAATATTAGATTTTTCCAGTATGGTGCGGCCCTAAAGCACAGTATAAAATTCTTCTCTATAAACCATTCAATTTAAATGCTTCTGAAAATGTGCTACTAAATCATATAGCACAATATATATTTTTGTTAGAATGATCAAGCTGCTGTTCTTTATCTGTGTGATGCACATTTGCACACTGACATTCACTCATGAAGTGGGGTCATTTAATTGCCTTGTGTGTTTTACGTTTAGTATAAAGTGAAGTTAGTGGCGAAGCAGTGGCGCAGTAGGTAGTGCTGTTGCCTCACAGCAAGAAGGTCACTGGGTCGCTGGTTCGAACCTCGACTCAGTTGGTGTTTCTGTGTGGAGTTTGCATGTTCTCCCTGCGTTCGCTTGGGTTTCCTCCGGGTGCTCCGGTTTCCCCCACAGTCCAAAGACATGCAGTACAGGTGAATTGGGTAGGCTAAATTGTTCGTAGTATATGAGTGTGTGTGTGGATGTTTCCCAGGGATGGGTTGCATCCACTGCGTAAAAAAATGTGCTGGATAAGTTGGCGGTTTCATGGCAGTGTGGTGACCCCGGATTAATAAAGGGACTAAGCCGACAAGAAAATGAATGAATGAATGAATGAATGAAAGTTAAGTTAAATGTGTAACAGAGACTGCTGTCAAAATGGAAATAGATTCATGAATTTCAGTCATTTAAAAAAGGATACCGTAAGAGGTACTCTTAGTCTAAACAGGACTAAATTTGTTTTATTGTTTATATAACTCTGTGTTTGTATGATAAACGTGCATGCTGAATCAGAAGACCTTTGTTGAAAATGTTGGGGCGTACTCGCACTATTTACAGTTGGCTTGAACTTGGCCAAAACACGCTTGTCCCCCCTCCCGTCTCCCCCAACGGCCCGCACTCACATTACATTCGGGCCTGGGCACGATTGTGTCATCGATAATACGCTGTTCAGTAAGCGCTCTCGCTCAGCACAGTGGAGATTGCTGTAGTTAAATTGTTTGTTATATTGTATTAAGTCGTTTGATATGCAGTGACGCGCAGTCAAAATATTTCGCCGCACAGATCAGCCACTTTTTGATCCTCATAAACAACCATAAAGTTCTCATGCTGCAGGAATTAGGAGGTTTGCTGAAGGTGCGCAGGTGTCATGCAGTGAGTGGTTTGCCTCTTTAATAAGCTGCGACAGTTTGCGTTCACTGAACAGTTAGAATGAGTAATTAATCCATATGAAACGGTCCCTAAAAAGTCACGTTTTATCTTTAGTTTCGGGCTTAGGCACATTTTGCACTCACACACAAGCGTACCACGCTAAAGCTCATGTGAACCATGCTCATATATATATATATATATATATATATATATATATATATATATATATATATATATATATATATATATATATATATATATATATATATATATATATATATATATATATATATATATATATATATATATATATATAGCCCCCTTTGATT